TGGCAAGTATCAGTGCAGACAGTAGTCAGGGAGGTACTGACAAAAGCAGCCAGAGCTTGAGAGGAGGAGAATTTACCTTGTCATTTCAATAAGTGCCGGTATTTTCCTGAATTGCAACCTTTGATTTTTTTTTTTTTTTTTTTTTTTTTATGCACTGACAAGATCCACTATGCCAGCTGTGTTAGACTACCTGGCAACGCGGTCAAGATTTAAAATGAGAACTCTTCTGTAGTAGAACTGAGGGTTGTTTTTTTGTTCTGTCCTCTGTGTGACTGGTAGCAAAGCATTCCTCAAGCTGGAAATATACCTCAGTGGTTTAGTCAAAAGCCATGTAAAAATCAGTTGTCATCACTGCTAATAACCCAGGCCTAAACAGGTGTGGGAATTTGTTTGTTTGTTTTGTCAATTCTTATAATTTATGGGGGGAAGAAATAATTTAATGGGATAGACCAGTGGTTGGCAATTGTCTCCAACTGGATTCTGCAGCTTTGAGGCTTCTCAGAATTCATACTAGTTTGCAGTAAAGCAGCTAATTCTTGGGGTTCACTTAAACCTTCCTACATGCACAAAGTGGAATTTCAGGGTGGTAACCAAGATAACTGTCTAGAAATCCCATTCTCATTTAGCATTTGCCAGTCCTACTGTGAAATTTAATACATCAAATGTTTGGATATTCTCAGTAATTTACTAGGCCAATGCATTTCAGTACTGACACCCAGTCTGTAAAATTGGGATAGGATTTCTGATGATTTTTAATTTTCTTGGTTTGTTTCTTAAATAATGGCATTATTATTTTTTAAATAGTATGAACATAAATGCAGCTGTTCTTACTTTTTGTTGAAGGGCAAACCAGTAGCAATGGCAGCTATAATCTTACAGGACCATACTGACTTCTCTAGACCAAAAGCAGTATTGAATGTGTAAAGAAAAGTCTAATCTGTATTTTTTTCTTCCCTCCCTCCCTTTTTTTTTTTGGACATACAAACACTATGGATTATTTGATTGTTTGTAATAAGTTGGGCATCAAACATTTTGAACCACACGAGGGCAAGCCTTGGCACAAAATTAATCACTTGATGGACAAAATATGTAAGAGGCAGGGAATGAGCGAAATCTGTCTAGCTAAGGACAGCTGCTCTATCGGACACCTGTAAGGATGTGTTTATTTGTTTCTGACTCTAGAATGTGTTACAAATAATCCTGTTTGGAGTTAAAGAAACTCTTACGTGGTCCAACCCGTTGTCTGTCCTGTTAGGATAGTTTTCATTCTTGGAAAAGTGTTAAACTTGAGGTAGCAGATGTGCCCAGTGCACTAAAAAATGCAAATACAGGGAGAAAGATGATGTTACTCTTGCTTCTTAAATATGCTGTGATGTTAGAATTGTCAGTGACTAGATCCCTTTCTAAAATGAAAGGTAGGGGGATGGAAGGGGTAGGGAGTAAAATTTATTTAGCTACAATTAAACTTGTTTAATAATAGGACTTCCATTGCAATTGTAAGAAAATCTTTGTGCCTACTGGACTTGGTTTTTTTTACTTAAAGAAACTCTCACGACACTGGTGAGGTGAGTGAGCTGCAACCTAAAACTGTCTGAAGGTGTCACAGTTGAGAGAGTACCTTGCACTGGGCTAGATCCCCTTCTTAACTACAGGTTAGGTTTGCTTTGAATTATAGAAGGCCTAGGCTAGCCTTAAATAGATGTTTCTGAGAAGCAATATAAATTAGGAATCAAATGCTTTAAAGGTGTGCAAGTTCGAATTAAGAAACACTCAGATTAATAAGTGAACACTGATTATTTTAATATATGCACAATCAACAGTTGGTGTAAATTGATTCCGTGAAGACATAAAGGTTTGAAAATACATCTTAGGTCCCAGAGGTTGATATTGTATTTTTTGTCTGTTGTGCAATAATACAGTTTAAATGGCATCACTCGACAACAATGCTTTTGATACTTGAAAAGAAATTATTGGTTATTTTTTCTTACTGTGAGATATTTGCACTGTCTGAACTTTCTGGTTAACTTTATAACTGTTAAACTTTTTTACTGGTGTTAATTTATTGTGCTCAGTATTTGATATGCTAGTCTCCTGTCTGTGTAAGTGTGAAATTTGTCATATTTAATTGAATATTTTTATCTTCTACACAGTTGTTTATCTTGAGGGCTTTTCTTCTTTTATTCTCTCTTCCTGAGAATCAACTGAAAGATGGCTTAAAAAGTCAACGCTTACCTACTTCTGAATTGTATGCATTAATTAAAGAAAGAGGCTGTAGTGCATTGTACCTAGAGGGAAAAATCTATCTGCCTGTCAGAGCTCTTGTGGTCAGATTCACCAGTACCTGCTGAGTAGCTGCATCAGTGAATCCGGTGAAGTAAAACTATTACTGCCTTAATAATCTGAGATTTCAGTTGTAATTTCTTTGACGTGCAGCCCTTCAACTGGCTGCGGACTGCAGAACTGGACGTGACCTTGGGGCGTCGGGGGGGGAAGGTACTTTAGCGGGCAAAATCCAACATGTTCTATCCCATCCATGAGTTAGCAGCTGTAGCCATGTTGGAACTGCCAAGGAACGTGTCAAGTTCAGTTTAAAGTGAGGATGAATTGGTGACTGTCAAAAAGAATATTTGAGTAAAACTGACTACCTCAGCTCTGTTTATCTTTGAGTTAAGCTTCTAGCCTGCTACGAACTTCCAAATATTAAGGTGAATTAAGTAAAAATGTGTCTCAGGTTTTTAAGAGCAAAATAAATACAGTAGGAAGCATAAGCCATTTTTGAGTGTAAAACACAGCTGAAGTTGTAGCTTAAACCAGTCGGTTATGTAGCCTTAAGTGTAGTTTCCCCCGTAAAAGTTGGTAATAGTTTTAAGTAGAAAGTTTGCAGGCAGCTACTTGAGGTGTCCTGACCACATTGTGGCAGGTCCATCCTATTGCATCTCTTACATGCGAAAACTTTGAAATATGGCCCAAATAAGCCCTTGTGTTTTCACCAGAAGATAGGGCAGCAGGAGCCCTGGAAGTAGAGCTGAGATAAATGAGTTAGCTTGTCTGTAGCAGAAATGTTTTCAGTATATAATGTCCACAGTTTTAATTTTTTAAAAACATTCCGTGTTTGCTTACAGACGTGAATGAGTCTTGCAGTCTGTTGTTTTTTTTTTTTTACCCCAGGAGTTCAAATCTATAACATTTCAATTAGAAGTTGAGGCAAGTCATTCTTCAGGAACATGTGTTTTTAGTGTTTCAGACAATTACAAGGAGGAAGGATAGCTTTTGGCTGGAGTATGCAGCAAGAAAAGTTACACTGAAAAGCAGGCGCTTCATTCCTCTTGAAACCAGCTGAGGTCTTGGGAGGCTGTCGCGGCCTTGGATGTAGGTTAATTACCGAACAAGAATTTTGACGCCCATTAATTGACTGTCAGCCCAAAGCACCTCATTCTTTCTGCTGAGCACTGGTAAATTGGGAAGACTGATGTCACTTAAGACCAGACATATCCACAATCCCTTACGAGGGCCAGTTGTTTTTAAATCTTCCTGTCCCGCAAATCATTCTGCGTGAACGTATTTCAGTAGAGAGGGAGGCGTATGTCCTTTCTTCCCCGTGTTTCCTACGAGTGACTTTCAGCCAGCTGAGCGGGTCAAGGTCTTTTCCCTGCAAGATTTATCCACCCGCTTTTGCGTGGCTGAACGCCTGGGTGCCTGCTTGCATGCGTTGCTCTTCGGGATTTGGGTCTGTTTGTTTATTAAATAATGTGATCTTACACTACCAGACTTCTGAAGTGCAAATGTTGCCTTTTTAATGTGAAGCTTACCTTGGAGATAAAACAACTGTTTTGAGAGAACTGGCTGACCTTGAACTTGTGTTTCCTATTTTGGTACAGAATGTAAATATAGAACAAACTATTTTACATAGATTTTGACTGGATTGAGATATAAGGGCTAATTTTTGTTATTTATGGAGTAAAAATTTCCTTATTTTAATGTGTTTAAAAAAAAAAAAGTATGTCATACAAAAAAAAGAAAAAATGGATCATCAATAAAATGTCCGTAGAAAATTGACTCTTCTTGTCCTTTTCTTTGAGAGCTGACAATTATTAACCACAAGAATAAGCGTAATAAAGGACCACCATTACAACAGTCATTTATTTTGTGAGAATTTTGAAAAATGAAATTACATCAGGTCTGCATATTGATCACTTGATTAAACTGTTATTTGATACACTTTGAATGTAAAATGATCCATGTTATTATTAGCTCATACATGACTTCTCGGAAGTTCAGCCTGCCGGTGAAGGAAGGAGGTTCCTGAATTCTCTATCCCATCCTCATGCATTTGATATTTAAAAGTTAAGCAATATTTAAGTCTTTGTCCAGTTGAAATGGAAGATCATAATTCCCTGTTTTGTGTAAAGGATTTGGCCGCATGATTCCCATTTCAGCTGGAGGAATGTTGGCGTCGCCCTGCGGAGCCCCGAGCCCTTGCCTGTGACCGGAGCGGAGCTGGAGGAGCCGCGCTACCTTCACGGCTCTGCAGCAGGGATCCGTGCTGCTGCAGCCGCTCCCTCGGTACCCGAGCCAGCTTTGCTAGCTGCGAGACTGAGATTTTTACAATATATTTACGATTACAACACATTTTTATATATATATATATAATTGCTCTGATAAATGTGAAAGTCATAACAACATTTCTCTAAAATGCAGTGGAGACAATTTTATAACCTAGCTTTTTTTTTTTTCTCCCCTAAGCAATATGTCAGCAAATACATAGAGAGATTAAAAAATAACCACTCGCCTTCCTCTCTGCTCTTTTGGAAAATCGGATAAAGCAAAGCAAAAGTAGGTTACTCTTCCTTTTTGTTTGCCTTGTCTTTAAATAGGAGTCTTGTAAAAGGGTATTAAAGCTTATAAAATGTGCCACTGTTCATTTCATAGATGGCTTTAACTCTGAAAAACATCAGGTATGTAAAGTTACCAAGTACAGCTATAAGGTTTAAAAACTTTTATGTTTCTAAAATTAACACCATTGGTAGCAAAATAAAAAAACCTGATCTATGAACCAGTTTGTGTTTAAAATTCAGAAGTAGATAGAGAGCTCTCTCTTCTGGAGTGTGAGATGCGTTGCTTAAGCTACAGCGGGAGCAGGGTGTTAGTCTGCGGTCTGGAAAGATGCGGGGAGCTGCGCTGGTGTCAGTCCAGTGGAGTTTCCCGGTGGAGTTAAAACGCAGCCTGGTTTCAAATGCAATTTTACAGGATTTCTGTGCGTCTATAGCGGTCATTTTCATGCATGTATAAAAAGTCAAGTATCGCAGAGGGTTTTTCACTGTTACTTGTTACGTCCTCACAATAACAGCATTGCACGAGCTGCAAGCCGGGTCGTGCAGACATCCTCCTTGTCAAGCTCCAGTCCTCCCCTCTCAGCTACTACCAATGAACAATGGTGACTTGCTGAGACATCCTGGTGCTAACATAAATGTATTTGCTTATTCCAATTTTTTTTTTCTGCATTTCAACGGAATACAGCATGTTTAACAAAGGTCAGACTACTACTGAGGATTCCTAGTGTCCTGAATTTGAAGCGAACAACCCTCTCCCCAAACCCCTTTTTTCTCCTTCCCCCTGCCCCTTAGACTGTTTTACTTATACATCTGCTGAACATTCACGTGTGTCTGAGCACAGTAACAATACCTGTTTTTCCAGCAAGGCTTACACTGGGAAACGAAATGAAGGAAGGACTAAGTGTCACAAAATATGTTATTTGTGTTTGAGGGGAATTAAGGAAAGTCAACATTTGCCCATGTGATTGCATCTTATTGCTGTCAGACCTTTTTTTTTTACTGCAATTTTTCTGTTTGGCTGAGTTCTTGAATTTGTCTGCATCTTGCGCTGTTCTGCAAGTAATATTAGTAGGCAAAATGTTGAGGTTCACATGAGCTAAATTGAGCTCTTGTTACGGAAATTACAAGGGGAAACTGTTTTCAATCAACAAGAAAGTAGTTCTAGGGAAATGCCCACATTACTAACTCAAATCAAATACTGTTAAATTTTACATTCATTTCCTGTTCCTTGGGTATAACGCTGAAATTAAAGGCAGATTTTTTACCCCCAGAATGAGGATACTGAAATACATTCTTCGTTGCTTTTACAGCAAGTGTTGTCACACAATCTGTTTCTCTACTTTATTTGCCGTGGAGTGGTCAGAAGTCCTGGGAAGATGAGAAGGTGACCAGGTGAGGAGATCGGATCTCTAAATGTGCTCTGGGTGGTTCTGCAGGCACGTGATGAAATCCTGGATCGATTGACCCTCGTAGCAGATCTTGTAGATGGTTGTAAATAATGGAAACCTAAAAGAAGCGCATAGCAATGAAAATAGTTTTTAAAGTTTACATAAGCATTTCCATTCCATTTATAATGGGTAAAAAAAAAAAAAAAATTTTTTTTGTTACATTAAAAGGAAAGTGGAAAATTTTTCTCTCTCTTTACAATATAATTTTAACTTGGAGGTGTCTACTGGAAGACTATATAGGGCAATTAAGAGGAGCTAGGGGCAATTCTTGGCGGTGACAGCAGAGAAGAGCTTTTGGGGAGACAAATTTCCTATCCAATATTTTTTTATTTACAAAAAAAATCTCGATTTGCATATCCTCTTTTTCCTCCTGTGTGCAAAATGCATACATTATTTGCATTCATCACTGGTACCTAAAAGACTAAAAAGAATGAAAATGTCTAATGATTTTCTTTTCCTGACTTAAAGGGTTCTTTCCCTTCTGCAAGCTGTCTTCTTAGCCATTACATGGTAAAAAAATGAGTCCACTGAATGCCTTGGAGCTGAGCGTGTAACTAAGCGCAATTATAGGATACTTACTAGATCAAGTTTTGATTTAAAGTTCACGTCCTGTCAAACTGAGCTTTTCTTTTACCTCTCTCATTTGGGAAAGATCATGCCACTCGAATCTTCTATATCTGTTATAATTTTAATGGGATTTTTAAAAAAGTATTCATTTAGTTGTGTTTGACCTCTCAGTAATGCTAATGTACAAGAGGGAATGGCATGGAGGGAAGTTTAGCTTTTCTATTATGTAAGCTGAGACAAAAGTTTCAAATTATAAATAATCTTGCATCATCCCAAACAATTAGAAGTACTTTTTAGCTCGCATTATTTGTGGCACTAAAGCATTGATATTGGCGCATATTGCCTATTCGATGCGTATAAAAATTTTTGTTCACGAGTACGCTCCTGCATTTTATACTGGGATAACGTAGTTAACGTTTGCACTGAGCGCAGTATTGCTGCAAGCTGTAGTGGTGATACACTAAGAACAAGAAACCCTTTGACCCATAGGCCATGTTTGCAGGCTGACTCTGTGTATGGTCTTCAATCTTGTTTAGGGGTACAGGGGATGTCTGGGTAGCTCCTTTGGATTATTTTGTTTGTTTGTTTCCTTCCAATATGTCTGTGGCTTGTTTCTTCTAACACTGCTTAGCCTTCATCCCATTCTGCTGACCATGGCGATGAGGAGTCAGGCGAAGCTGAGCTCCAACAGTGGCCCAAGATGTAGAAACCAGTTGTTGCAGAAATGAACAAGATAATTAGACACAAGTAGCGTTACGGAGGTTATGAATCACTCCTAATTTGTTGTTGATTCAGTTGTTTTTCTAAGTCAAAGCACTTACTTATCAAGAATATTTTGCTGTTTCAGAATCTTGTAGACTTCGGCTGAGGTCTGAGGACCTTGCAGCTTTTGTCCGTTCAGCATCTCATTTTCCAGTTCCTCAATGGACTAGAAGAGAGGAGACTCATTACTTGGATCAGAGGGGATACCGCTGTGATACCAGCAGTTATCAAGAAGGTAAACAGCTAATGATGCCTTTGTAAAACACAGAAGGATTTCTTCATGTGTTAGTGTAAAATATTTCAAAATCCTCCTTACTTTTCCTGTGCGAGCAAAGGCTTCTGCTACTTTCCTGTTGCGTCCCCCGTAGCAGGTAGTGATCAGATCAGCGACCCCGCAGCTTTCCAGAAAAGTGGCTATTGATACCGGTCCCTTGCAGAACATCTTGGCAAAGGCCACCATTTCCATAAGGCCCAAGCGTATAACCGCTGCCTTTGTATTATCGCCGAAATCCAGTCCATCGCAGAACCCAGCTCCCACCGCTACGATGTTCTAGAAACAGTTTAGTGTGACATACAGAGGAGGAAAGGAAATGGTCAGGCAAGACGTGCGGTTCATTAGCGTGCACTGAGCTCTAAGAAAATCCTACAAATCTGTCTTCACCCCCTTCACCAGAAGAAACTGGTAACTGGTTTTATATAGGGAAAATATAAATTAAAACAAGCCTACTCATCACACTGTGAAGATGTCCAAAAAGAAGGTTCAATTTCCAGTGGCCATGAGTTTCTGTTATGAAGAAGGTAGCTAATTACAATTGAACAAAAGTAGCTGGGCTTCTAGAAGATTATTGTAAAGTATCCTCTGTTATTCCCATGGGCAAAAATCAAAGCAGCTTATTTAATATAGTAATATTGCAATCACGTAGTGTGTATGCAATTAATGTTTTGGTTATTTGCTAGTTCCAAGTTGGTACTCGCTGACCTTTCTGATTTAGCTATTTAAAATACCCCACATAGTCATGCCTTTCCAGGTTTTCTCTGTGGGTCTCTAATTTAAACAGACTTGGGTTCTATGTACCAATGCTGCAGTAGATGAAATTTTGGGTTTCCCTGTAAAAATGGTCAGTAAAATCGCCCTAAACCATCTAAACAAATCTCTTGGCATCCTAAATATCTTCACAACTCCTCAGCATTGTCCTGCACACCTCCCTTCCCACCTCCCAATTCCCAGCCCTTAAATAAGTCCCTAAATAAGTGTAGCTCACTGTATATGAGCACTATGTCACCTAGTACTGCTGTTGAAGTGTTTGCTCCAGACGTGCACGTGCCCCAGTGCAGACTTTTTTTTTTTCTTTTCTTTTTAGCAAAGACAATCCCAAAGCAACGATTTCAAGAGCAGCAAAAGATTTCCCACAAAACAGAAACCACCGCTCTGCGCCTGCCCCCAGTTCCAGTCTGTGGCCAAAAACAAAATCTGGGAGTACTTGGTTTTGTACGAAAAGAAACTTCTCTTTTTGTATGCAAGGTTAAACAGGACCAATTCTTTCCTAGCCAGTAATGCCCCCTCCTCCAAGGAATGGTGAATTACTGAAGTGCAAATGACTGAATGTATTAAAAAGTACAAAGGGACACAGGCTGGAGTTGCTTTCAGCACATTTAAAAGCAAACTCCAAATCTCACTCAAGTGCTCTCTCATTGGAAACTTGGTGATTTTTGTATTGCTTCTGATCCAGCCTGGGATCTTGACGTGGGCATCGGTGGACACCACACAGCCGTGCTGCCAACAAAGAGCATCGCTTCTGATGCAAACTTTCTAGCAGGTTACTACTTGAACCATGGAAATAAGTTATTGGTGGGAGCTACTATATGTAGTAAGAGTCTTCGTTCCATGTGCTTATAACACGCAGACAAGAAAATACAGTGGACTAAAGTCTGCCCTCAGAAGCAGAGGTGCCTCTGGTTAAATAAAGATAAAAATACAACTATTTTGAAATGCTTTGCCAGCACTTATATTTTAAACTAAATTTTTCTCTTTTTAACAGATTGGAAAATTGGCACACAAACATCTTGTCTGTGCTCACTCATCATACAGTGGCAGGACTCACATTAGACCCTGTGGCTCACAGAAGACTCAGGTGAGGGTAGAATTTGGCTCTAATAAAAACATTTGGGTTTGAAATCACTCACTTTTAAGGCTCCGCAAATCTCCACTGTATCAGAGTCAAGCACCACGGTAATCCTGAAATTGGGGGTCTGCATTAATTCTTTAAAGATCTCCCCTTGTTTTTCGTTTTTGCACCCTGTGAGAAGGAGGGATGAAAGTTAGAGCATTTTCACAATGTTTCAGAGTACACACAGTTAACTGGAACCTGAAACAAGGTCCCACGGACCACTTGAGGTTTTGTGGTCCCTGTAACTGGGCGTTGCTAAACAAGAGGTTTGTGTGACAGCAGTTCCTGCTGCTGGAAGCCAGTGTCAAATGTATGCAAATCCCAGGGCATTGATCAAGCATCATTTAATAACACTTTAAAGAGCTTAAAAGTAGATAGCGCCTAATGCAGCTTTCTGCCTGAGAAACCACAAACCTTGCAAAAGATAGTATTTACAAATCGCTTTGTACAGCACAACAGCATAATTGCTGCTTTGAAAATGTAAACCAGTATAATTGCTGAGTATTATTACGGATATGATTAATGCCCAATTAATTCCCAATTACAGGAAGATCCACAGAGGATGAAGTTGAACATTGGCAACACTCAAACATTTTTGTTACCAATTCTATAGAGGTCATGTACTGTGCCATTACAGCACTTGCCCTAGGTATTGAGAGGAAGGGTAGCCCGCTGGGCAAAGACTTTTGAATGGAGTTTCACTTCATTTCTATATGAGGCAACTTGGTTTCCTTCAGGGAGAGCTCAGCAGTGAGGAGCTCTAGCATTTTCCAGCTGTTGCTCCTGGAGGGGTTCTGGACACTCGGTATTTTTGACTACTAAAGAGCCTGGGCAATAGCACTCGTAGCTGCGGGGTTTCTGCCCCATCTCACGAGAAACTTTGGGTTTCCTTCTCATCCTTCACAATAATTGATGTTGGGGGATACCCAGTCTCTTTGAGGTGGCTGTTTCTGGGCTATCTGGCTTTCCACAAGGACAAAAGCGAGGGACAAAGCTCTCTGCACAGTTGTCATCACAGCGTGGCTTCAAACTGGGCCAGCAGAAGTTAAACTCTCCCCAAGAAAATGAATATTGCTCAACTCTCCCAATCACTTCTAGTCCTGTTCATGCCTAGTCACTCTGCCAGCAACAAATGCCCAGCTGGTATGGTTTTCACTATTATTGTAACCTTTGCAAGGCAAAGGAACAGTAGTGCAACAATAATTTATTTTTTTGTCTTCCCTAGCTATGGAAGGATGCAACTTTAATTTCTGCTGACTTTAAAAATCAATGGGTTTTAAAAACTATCAGATGAACTTTTCAAGTCAGGTCAGACCCAGTTCTGGGAGGATCTGAGGCTACATCTTGGCAAGCAGTCTGAATGGGAGGGAAGAACAGAATGTTACTGGGTTGTTTTTTTTTTTTTTTTAACACAAAGAAATTTGAAGATGGAGAAATACACCTCAGGGAGCCTGAGCACATATGAGCTTCTGATTGCACTTCTCTATCTAGACTGCATAGTGTATCAACCGCCAATGTACTCCATGTTGAGCTGTACAGACAAAAAGGTGGCTCTTGCCAACTCCTACAGAAACAGGATTAAGGTGTAATTTTTTAATGGATTAAATTAGCTCTCAGCACTGAAACCCACTGTCAGTTTGGATCTGATCCTGCCAGCACCAAACTCCCTGGGAATCACGCTGCCTCCCTGAACGAGCTCAGCGGGCACTGCACCCACCGCACTGCTCGGGACGCACACGGGACCCATCGCGTCCCCCTGCTACCTCCAGAAGTTGTCCTGTTGCCCAGCCACAGATGACACTAAACCACAGCTAGCGGCTCTGTTTTGCTCTCTGCAATAGTTACCAATGGTGGTTTCACAGAACTTCTCATCAGCCACTTCTTTGGCTATGTTGGCCCCCATAAGCACACTGATTTCTATTTTCAGTTTCTCTCGAATGAGGTCGGACACGAGCTTCAGGCCATCAAGACTCTCATTGATCCCCTGAATAAAAGATGACAGTCAAAGCCAAGTTATTAGAATAGGAAAATGACAGCAGTAGAGCACCGGTAAAGCAGATGGTGTCCTATTGCCTGCAGCTCCCCGGTTTTGATTGGAAGGATTTGGGTCTTTTATTCACTAGCATTAGCCATTAATACAAATGCTCTGGGTTTGTACTTTGATAACTGCAAATTCAAGGCAAGTTCAGGGAGCAGATAGCAACAGTCGGGGTAACCCTGCAAGAGGCCTCACATCCAGTGCTGCTGTCCTGAGGCTTTCTTTGATGCTGTATTTTTCCTTTGTGTTAAGCTCCTGTAGTACAGAACTAGACTTATAAATTAAGCCTACAAGCAGTGGCTTTTTTACAAGATCTAAGTATTAATCTGAGTGCTTCATTGGTATTCAGGAGTGTACTGAACTGTCGGGGGGGGGGGGTTTAAGCTAAAGAAAGAAGTAAATTTGCAGGAATTTCCTTCCTCTCCCACCCTCCTCGTATCTGTGTACTGCTGCTTGTGAGATAATTTCTATAGGGGGAAAAAAAAAAGGGGGAAGAGCTGGTATTGCAGTCTGAAACTTGAATTACATTTCTTTCATTACAATTTTAAATGGCGTATTTGCTGTAATGCAAGCAATAGAAGAAGCAGTAGACTATATCCTGTGCTTTGTCTCTGGCTTCTAGTTGGAGATTCTCTTTAAATGTTAATTCCTTTTAAGATTATGATAATCTGGTACCTCTAACCTTAAAAAGAGATTCCTCAGTTCATACCAGATTGAAATTGCTTCAGTTCTGCAAAATCATCAGTGTTATTGTGCCGTTTTAATGCTGCCAAGAACAGCTTTAGCATGTACTTGGAAGAGGCACTTTGACTCAGCGCTCTTTCCAGTTAAGAGTTAACTGAGGCTGTAGGCTGATGAGTATTTTTTCTGGCAGCAGCACCAGCTTATGTAGCTGTCTCTCTGCCCATTTTCACCTCCGTGCTGGTCCAAGTGGGAACCGATCCAGGCTAAAGATGGCTGGCAAAGACAGTTACTCTTAGCGTGGCTGGGTTGCCCCATCCTTTCCTCTCCGTGGCCATGTGAGCAGCAGGAGGGTCGGCAGAGGCTGGGTAAGTTTTAACTCTTGCAGGAAGAAATGCCTGTGCTTATGCAGAGCATGCAGCCGAGGACTGGAGCTCCTACCCTTAAGTTGAAGTCATTTATTTACTCCGTACAGATTGAGTCTTGTGGAGATGACAACTTACCTTGATCAGTGAAATCCCGAAAGTCCCGGGTTTTATGTGGCCTGCGATCTGCTCGCAGATTCGTCCAACGAATTGATGTGGCAGAACAAACAACAAAATGTCTGCCCCGCTTGTTGCTTCGACCACGTCTGGTACAGCCACCTGGGACAAGAGTGACAACTGAAATGAGCCTCAGGTAGGAATCCCCACACCGTGCAAGACACCAAAGTCTTGCAGGTGTATTGCAAATGTCCTTAATTTTAACTAGCACTGTTGCATAGCAGCTAGCCCTCAATGTGAGCAACTGCAGCTCTCTTCTGAAGCAGCCTAACTTTTTTTAGGCTTGGATTTTTTTTTTTAGTTTTATTTTTAACTTGCCTCCCATCCCAACCCTGTGTGGATAATCTGGGGAAGGTGATTTTCTTTCTAAACTTGCACTGTCCTGGGAATTCCCGTTGCTGGTTCAGCTTCTTCAGGTGGTTCCTGAGATACTGAGCAACCCTATATGGTTCTTCTGGAATGAGTGGTAGCACCGGGGAGCACGGGAGCAAACTGGGGTGGTGAGACAGAGCCTCTTCTGGCAGTCTTTAGTTTCTATAGGTCACCAGCTGAGATTCACTCACAAATAAACTACATCAAAAGGCAGAGATTATCATCATCTTTCAGAGGTATGCGTCTTTGTTTTAAATATATAATAACTTGACCAATAGTTACAAGAACTTATACAACATGCTTAATAACTAGCAAGCTGTATCTTCCTCCAAATGCTAGCATTACTCAGAACAACAATTCAAACCAGGCTACAGAGGCAACGGCAGGTGAATTTGAGCCTGCTATCACAAGCAGTTTACAATCAGAGCAAACATAGCCCTTGGATGCAGCATTGGAGCACACTGCCTTAGGGCAAGTGGGATTCCTGGTGGGAGAACGAGAACTGCTGCCACCAAGGCTGCTTCTCCAGAAAAATGGCAAAGCAGGAGCAGGGCAGAGGCTGGCAGCACTGTACAGACAGTGCTCCTGTCTTTCCAAAATGTTGCAGAGCAATGCAAGGAAAAAATTAGGGTGGCTTTCCCCACCACCACCCCCCCCTCAGTCAGAGATGATGTGAGTGTCCCTCCAGGCTTTACTGCAACCAGCTGATTTCTGCTGGTAAAGCCTCAGACTTTGCTATAGACAGGATGAAGCTGATCTCAAGTGATGATGACAAGCCTGGTGATCTGCTAGAGGGTTGTAAAAATAACAGTGACAAGTCAATTCTAACCCAGGAGAACTGCGTGCCAAGTTCAAACCACAGGAGTGCAAATATACAATCTCAGCACTAAATGGAGTGCTAAATATAATCACTCTCCAAGCAAGATGATCCATCACATGCAGCATCTTAACTTCCTTTTACAACTGCAACTGTTGCAGAAACGCGGTGCTACTTTCTTTAGTTCACAAAACAGTGGCATCTGGCAAAATCTTGAACGGCCAAAACCCCTCACCTTGCTTGCTTTTGTAGCAATACATTGTCTAAGCTGTTTAATTTAAGTAGAGATGCAAATTTGGTATTTTAAATGTCCATGAAATTTATATTTTTGGTGGAATTTACGGCATTATTAATGATAGCAGTGTGTTGCTATCCTGAAAGCACCCATGAGCCAATAGCTCATTCATCTTCTTGTAAGCCACAGCTGTTAGCTGTGCTGTTGATTTCTTTCGTAGAAGAAGGGAGAGCAGTAGCTTTCCCTTTTTTTCCCAGAAGATGCTGTGGGTTTGAAATAGCTCAGCTCTGTGCAGACAGATCCCTGCCTGCCATTTCTAGAGTTATGGTGATTTCTGCTGGAGAGGAGGAGTGTGCGTTACCAGCACCTGACACAGTTGGGTGCTTGAAGTTGCATGTGACTTATGAGACAAGCAGAAATCACAGAAGTGAGTTACAGTCCAGCGTACTTAAGATATTGGAGTGAGTTAGGTGGCAAACCAGAATGAAGCAGTGAATTACTTCCTAATTTTAATTTTGCCAGATGTTGCCTCCCTTATTAAAAATAACAATATTTCAGTGTTCGGTGTGTCCCCCCCCAACTTACCACATTTTTGGGTATCTTGTAACCAGGCAGATATTTAACATTTTCGTGTTCCTGGTTGATTATTTCTGAGAGTTTTCTTCCATTGATGATCTCTTCAAATACCCACATCCTGACAGTAGGATCAAATCTGTTGGACTTCTGGACATTTTTGCCAACGATTCTTGCTATGGCTGATCCCCTTTAAAAAGAAAAAAACTGAAATAACTAATAGGAAACAAATAGTTTTATTGAGAATTGGAAACACAAATTACTTCAAACATAGTAACTCATAGAAGGCCTATGCTATAAAGCTGTTAAGGTGCTTGCTACATTTATCAGAAAGCTTTATCCACTACCTTCCATCAAAATCCCATCAGTTTAAAAACACAGAAGTAGAACCAGAGAAAACATAACTGTAATAAGGGATCTGAAGTCATATCAAAGACTATAGAGTGGGAAAGTGATGTACCATCAACAGCACTAAAAATACAGTATCTGGGATTAAAATCTCTCTTGCTCCTTGGATAATGCTTTTTTTTCTGAAGACCAACAAATGTAAAATAATCCAGGTAGCAAAGTGCTGCTGAATGATCTTGCTGTGACAGTCTTTGTGCATCTCGTCTAAAATACATGCATCCTACTTTTCTACCAATAACCAAACAGTTGCAATAAGGATTTTATGTAAGAGCTAAATCCTCAGAAATTGTTCTTTTCTTAAAAAAAAAACCAAACAAACAACAAAACCCAAAAAACCCCAGTCTTCAACCTGATGGTTTCTCCTTATTTGTTGTTCTAATTATCACTGTAACAGGATCTGTAATAGTTGCAGCCTAAGGATATTTTAACTATCCGGTTTACTCATTTTCAGTCATGCTGAGTATTTTTTAATCTCAGTTTAGGCAGTAATTTTATTTCCCCATCCACCACTGCAGCCTTGCAAACGTTCACTTATTTTCTTGGCAAGAGGGAATTAAAAACCCTGCAGAAAATATTGAAAGTGTTGCTTACTGTCCTTTCAATTATATGGGGAGGAGGGGTGATTATTTTTACTCCTCTCTTCCCTCTTTCCATTTTAATGCTACTTTAATCTTTCAAGTATCGGCTATTTTACTAATGCAACTGAAAGAGGAGCTCCAGTTGCAATGCTCTTGTCCTCTGACCCACTTGTCACACACCTGCAATGAGAGGCATGAACAGGATTTAGCTGTGGTACGTTTTCTGGAACCGATAAAGGTCTCGAGTATATCCAAGACAAAGTCCAGGTAGGTCTGTGCTGTCAATGGTTCAAAGGGAAACCACGTAACTGGCTCTCCTTGGCTTAACCCTATTTTTGATGCAACAGGCTTGCACAAGGCTGAATTGCTCAATAACTAATAGAAGAATAAGGGTTTCATCTTAATCTTTAAAGATAAAGAAATCCTACTGAGATCAGGTTTCACTTTGCTCAGTGTTGACTGTATCCTGAGCTGCCGTAATGCTTTCTTTCTAAAAAGGGACGTTTGGGTTTGGTCCTTCAAGATAGGTTTAGGGGTGAAATGTTTTAGGGGTGAACCTTTACTATAAGAGAAGTATTATCTTTAAAATTACTTCTATTCTGTTTCTCTTGCCCTGCTATCAGAGAGCACAATCAAGGCCTGAGCTGAGGATGAATTGTGGCTCAGCACAAGAAATATGTATTAAGAAGAAAAGTTATTTTTATGGATAAACCTGAGATCTAAATCTAAATCTAGATCACCTCAAGCCTATCCATAAGAATAACTTTTATAGCTATGTACTAAGTTCATATGATTTTCTGTTGAAAGATGCAAACTCCAGCTCTAACCTCTGAAATCCTGAATAGGACTCACAACTCTCAGTAGATAAATCTCATCTTCTAGCACTGCGGTCATTACCACCCCACTTGGATGTTGCCACCCAAGTATTTTCCTATTGACAAGATATCGGTGAAGATATCTCAGGCATAAAGGTAGCTCCATAAATGACAGTATTTTTGTTTGGTTTCTTTTTAGATGAATGAGGATTCAGGGGAGAAAGGGTTTAACATTTAAAAAGCATTGAGTAGTCATCGGGGAAAATACCTCGCCACAAAACCATTGAACAGTTCAAAACCGGATGCTCTGTTTTACTTAGTCCATTTAAAATTCTGGCACTGCTGATCAACCTTGGGAAGAAGAATTGCTTTGTCTGTGAAGGCGGTGTTCGGTAGACTACACAGGCTTGGCAGAAGAGGGCTGCTTATGCAAACAAAACCAAGGACGCTCACGTATAAAGACTTTGCCGTGGTTTTATTTTCTCCAAAATTCAGTTTGGTGAAGATTAATAGAAGGCAGAGAACTCCGCTTAGATAATTTTAAAAAGTAAGTGAAAACTGCCAATTAGGTTTTTTTCTCAGTTATGTTAATTTATGTTGGAAGTGATTTACATATTGCGAAGAAAAAGAAAGCTTTTATCTAGGGATTTCCTATCAGTATAATGAGAAAGCTTTGATGTAGAATAACTCAAACAAGACCCATTATTTACATATGTGAATATGAAAGTGTTTGTGGCATACATCAGATCTGCTGAAAAATAGAGCTTAACAGACCCCCGGGAGCAGCTAGTCCCTTCCCTGTACCAAGGGCAGTCAGATACACTTACACCGTTCCTAGTAGTTTTTCCGAGGAGGTCTTAAAGACCTCAGCAGTTGCAGGTCTCTTCCCTTCCCCAACCACCCATCCCAGCCCTTTGCTATCCTTAGCATTAGCACGATCATCCTCACGTTTAACCTAAGTCTTTCTTACTGCAGTTTAAGCCCATTTCTATTCTAGAAGGGTGGAATATTGTTTTTCCCCTTTAGATGCTTGAAGACGATCATGTCTTCCTCCAGTCTCTTTCTTAGCCAACCACCCCAAATTTTTTAAATTGTAGCATCGCTCAGGTTGGAGGGGACCATAAGAGGTCTCCGAAGTGGGAACAACCCTGAGTTCAGACGGGTTGCTCAGGGCTTTGTTCAGTTGAGTCTTGAAAACTCTCCAGGGAGCACCTCCTCTCTGGGCAACCTGCCCCAATGCTTTGTTATTCTTATAGGGTTTTTTTATTTTCTCCTCTGGTTCAATTTTTGACCACTGGCTCTTGTTTTCCTTCAATGCACCTCCATAAAAAGCCTGGCCATCTGTCCCTGTTGAAGACAAGAACCTAGTTCAAGCTGGATATTCGCTGAGGACTCTGCAGTCCAAATGAATCTAAGAAGATTGGGAGAACTTTTGGATTCTGAAGGGCCAGGCAGTGAATTAAACCTCTATTTTTAAAAACAGATAACTGAACCATGATTAATGTAAACACAAACCCTCCTGCACCTGGCTGGCAACTGGAAAATGCAGTGCAGCACTTACTTCGCTTAACCACATCACTCGTGAGTCTCCTTGGCAGTGTTGACTTAGCAAGTCCCTGTGTCTTGCTCAACTTCTGCAGCTGACGCGAGCTATTGCAACACGCTGCGTCACGTGTCAACCGTGTTTCTGAGCTGCAGGAAAGACTCAAGAGCAGGGATCTGAACTGTCACCCAAATATTCAGGAGGAAGAAAAAACTGTTTGCCAAAGCTAAACATTGTCGTTTCTATGTTGTGCTAAGACAACCTGTTGTGCCACAAAGGCTATGAATAGATGTGATTTAAACATCAGAGCACAATGCTTATCACCTCCCCAAAGATTTTACAGTCTATGTATGTGGTAGGAAGCAAGAGATGGGCCCAGGCAGACAGGCAGTACGAGTAAGTAGGTAGTATTGAATGAGCGGGGTCTCTGTATCTGTGGCATAACTTTTTCCATGTTTGTAGGTACATATGAAAAAAAGAGAACGTCCTTGTGTATACAGATCTGACAACTAAGTGGCTTTGGAGGATGTCTGATGGCAAGGGGACAGCCTGGGAAAGGCAGGAGGTGCTTGCTTGAGGATGCAGCAAGAGAATGATGAAGGCTGTCACTGTGGGCTGACCAAAAGTAAAAGTTGACTCAGGTGTGCAGCCACGGCTGTTGAGGGACTTGGAAGTGACAACGAGCTGCCCACACAGGCTTGGATGCCTGTGGTTAAGGTTCGGGAGAAGGGGGTGTCAGGGGAGGGATGCAAGCGCTGGAATGACAGGGTGAAAGCGGCAGTCGGGCAAATGCCAGTGCAGAAATAACGGGACAAGACTGCATCCGTCAGGGCCAGAGAAAGCCAGATGCGTGATGATGAGTTCCTGAAGAAGACTTAGCTGTGCAGTTACATGTGAAAGGCCGTATCCGAGCGATGTCATGCACAAAGAGCCTGTGATCCGGAAAGAGCGTGCATGTAGGGGCTCAGAAAAGAGTGGACTGGTTTTGCAAGGCAGGAAGGCAAAGAGCCGTGCTTTAACTATGCTATGTTCTCAGCAGCTCACAAGCAACCACTCCCTGACCTACCAATTTTTTTTTGGCATCTGCTTCCACTTAGCTGTCAGATATTTTAAAAATCTTGAAGAGCTTACCCTCCCTGCACAAAAACAATCCAGAGAACTACCTGGAGGCTGGGTTTGCTAATCCCAAGCGCATGCACATATGTGTTGGTCTGTTGGTTTGTGCTCAGCTTACATAAACCATAAGAAAAGTAAGATGCGAAGTCCAGTAAGATAGGGTTTACTGACTTCAGTGGGGTCTGTCAGACCCAAGGAGCTCTGGAGAGCCATGCTTTTGTCCAGGCTAGAAAGGTCTGAGCAGCAGCAAACATATTCCTATGAATGGGGATCAGGATAAATGGGGGGCCTGACCACAATGCTTGTACAAGGCTGCGTCTGCACCAAGGTGCAAACCAACGTGCCGAGGAGGATGGAAGTGAAAGGTGGCAAGAAGTCGTGGCTTTAAATGAAGCCGGCGCCCTGCTTCCTTCAAAGGGATACAAACAGCATCACTGCTCGCCTCGCTACTCCATGCTTGCGTTCCAATTGCCTGGGCCCTGCCACAG